TCTCCTCTCCTTCCACCGCCCTTTTTTTATTCCAACATTTCATGACCAAACGTGGCAATGGCACACTCAAGTTATATCAACTTATTTTATGCCGCCACCAACACAGAGTAGAAATACAGGACAGGACAATACTCATTTTCACTTGAGTTAAGTGAGGAAAGTCGTGTAAAGTGCCTTTCACAAGGGCACAAGATCGGTGGCATGTCAGGACTCGAACCCGGGACCTCTTGGTTTCCAGTCGAGCACTCTGCCGCTACGCCATTCGACCCTACTCTCCTCTCCTTCCACTGCCTTTTAATGCCCCAACCGAAATCAGGTACCCATTTTACACCTAAATGGCAGGGAAAGACATGTTAAGTGCCTTTCCCAAGGGCATGGCGCCTTTGCCGGATTGCAAGGAATCAAACCAGTGACCTCTCGATCCCGTGTCCATTTGCCTTGGCACTCGGCGGTTCGATGCCGCCCTGTGATCTCCCATGCTATCCCTTGAAGAATGTTGTACTATACATCCAGTTGTGTCTCCCTTAAATTTCCCCAAGCTATCTCTTGAAGTATATTTTATTTATACATTATGGAACCAATGTAGTCTACTTCAGAAGAAAAAGTTCGAAGCAACATCAGTCTTAGAAAGAGAGCGAGAACACAGTTGTTACCCTTAAATTTTCCCAAACTATCTTTTGAAGTATGTTTTATCTATACATTATGGCCTCAATGCAGTCTACTTCAGAAGGAATGTTTGAAACAACATCAGTCTTATAGAAAGTGAGTGAGAAAACAGCTCCAGGGACACAGTCGTCTAAGAACATACCTCCAGCCTTTAATCATACTCATAAAACCCAGCCAAGGTAAAGCAGTAATGGACCTTAAGGCTAGTGTGCAACCTACAAGAAAACATCAAAAGAGCTTGCCACACTCTCAGCGTTCTTTGTTGAGGAAGGTGTCAAGAGTTGAATATAAATGATATCTAGATAGTACGTAGGTAAAAGAAAAGGTCCCTTAAGTTTGGAGGCCGTAATTTTCAAATGAACGGGTAGCCCATCCTTCTCCTTTCATCACATTTATCGTGGTCCCCAACTGAAGTCAGCCACCCATTTTATACTTGAACGGAGTGAGAAAAGTCACAAAGAATCAGACCAGTGACCTCTCGATCCCGTGTCCATTTGCCTTGGCTCTCGGCGATTCGACGCCACTCTGTGCTCTCCCATGCTATTCCTTGAAGAATGGTGTACTATACACCCAGTTGAGTTTCCCTTAAATTTCCTCAAACTATCTTTTGAAGTATGTTTTATCTATACATTATGGCCTCAATGCAGTCTACTTCAGAAGAAAAGTTTGAAGCAACATCAGTCTTAGAAAGTGAGAGAGAACACAGCTCCAGGGACACAGTCTTACCTCCAGTCTTTAATCATACTCATAAAACCCAGCAAAGGTAAAGCGGTAATGGACCTTAAGGCTAGTGTTCCAACCTACCAGCAAACTTCAAAAGAGCTTGCCACACTCCCAGCGTTCTTTGTTGAGGAAGGTGGCAAGAGTTGAATACAAATGATATGTAGATAGTACGTAGGTAAAAGTGAAGGGGTCGTGTGGCGTAGCGGCAGAGTACTCGACTCGACTAGTTTGTGCTCATAAACTAGTGCTTATAAACTAGCAGGTTTCCTCAGACACTGACGAGAGCTAGATTTCATTAAGTTCTTTTGATTCTCCAGGGAATAAATTTCTTCTATCAAATGTAAGCTGTCTTACTTTTATCGCGATCTCACCACCCCTTAGCCAATTTGAAAGCCATGGATCGTATTCCCTGGGCCGGTAAGTCAAAGTCAGAGTTAGGGTTAGGGTTAGTTAAAGGTTTAGGCCAATTTTTACTATTTCTCATCGGAGTCTAATAGACAATAAAACATCTGGTTACTGATGTTGTGCACACCTCCAATATGTCTGTGAATAGTATCATCAGGTTGGTAAGACACTGAGTAAAGAGACTCTTTTTAAACAACCAAGTCTGTCACCTTACTCAGCACAATTCTGACTGGTTCACAGTGCATTACAGCACAGGTGTCTCCAATATGGACTTTCTGACTGACCTCGAGTGTATCCATGTACATTTTTGTTGATTCACACTGTACGGAAGTATTGTTTTGGGTGGCTCACTCGTGTGTTTGTGCCTCTGTCTATTTTGTTGCATGGTGGGTGGGATGTGACTTTGACAGTTAATTAATAGGGAGGTTACCATGAAAGCGACCCACACACACATGGAGTGGCTGACTCGTGAGTTTGCCTCTGTGTCTGTCCTGATTATTTCGGTATCATGGTGGGGGGTGGGGGTGATTTTGACATTTCAGTGATAGCTACAGATGTCACCCTGAAGATGACCCATTTATTTATTGTTTTATTTATTCAATCTTCAGACAGCTGAGTAGCCCAGTTCAATTTTGCCAAATTTATTTTCAATGGGGCCCAGCACAGATGCAGTAAAATCATCAATATAACAGAGGGAGTAAACTTAAATCAAAATTTAACATAAATAACAAAGGATTGTTAGCCATAAGCAACACGAGAACCCATGCATGTGGAGAAATTGAGGAAGTGGTCTAATACCGGATTGAATCACATCACATAATCCCCTCCACAATTCCAATACGTTCTCAAATACCCAAATCATACTGAACATGAAGGCCACAAAAAAACCAAAAATACTTTCCGGAAGTTTGAAATCCCCGCTGGTTTGTTTTTTGATCATCCTATCAATCAAAATGTACATGTGTCCAATTAATCTCATCGTAACATCTACTGTAAGGCTATTCTGTCACAATCTATCTTTTCTCTTTGGACAAATTAGTCAGTTACTGTCTGTACGTGGAACGGAGGTACTATACATAGCTTTCTACAAGTTGATGAGTCAAGGTTGATGTAAGGTGTGTTAGATAGAAGCAAGAACGTCCTTGATAGGAGATAATTGTTGCTATCCGTCAAACTTGTACGTTGACTGTCAAAAGTGTTCAAAGAGTTTGATAGATTGGGCAAAAGGAATGCCTGAATGATGAATGATACTTCTATTTCCACTTCTGAGCAGACACATGACTTTGTATCTAGCTCATAGAAGGTCTGAAAGTTTCACTGCAAAAACTTCGATCTTTACGCATACCTTAAGCATGCGTTAAGGTATTTCCTATTTTGAGTGAACAAACAGGGCCTTTACTTAAAGGTGTTCTTGACCCTTGTCCTGCTGGCATTTTTACAGAATGTTTTCAAATTATTTGATGTCGTAATCAGGTCATATACCCTTGACTTTATTTGCCTTATAAAGACACTTAATTTACACGACTTTCCTCACTTCGCTCAGGTGAAAATGAGTATTGTATTGTCCCCTGTGTTGGTGGCGGCATTAATATAAGTTGAAAAAACTTGAGTGTGCCGTCACCACGTCTTGTGAGTACATTTTGGAATAAAAAAATATGATCTCAAGTCACTAACCAGCATAGTTATTCTGGTAGGTATTAGCTCAAATGGAAAGAGAGTATAACTTGAACACATGATGCCATTCAGTAGGCCAGCCTGACGCCAAAACACAAGGTAAGTAAGGTTTCTTCCAACGTCTTATCGCGTCCGACTTGTCTTGCATGTCCGTGACTTAAAAGCCAAGGCGTCTGGCGTGACCAAGAGTCGTAGGAGTTTGAAGTGAGACTATCTCTTTTTCCCAGCTGCCGGCTAAGGAATACGCCAAAACATCTTAAGCCGACCTTCTTGGCTCTAATGACGGAAAACTCCCGGTCAAAAATAGCAACTCTTCAAAAAACTTTTCAGTGTGCCACTAGGGTCTCCTTTAGTTCACATCGTCACATCGTACAGACTGCTGTTTCATATTAAGTCCTTCCGAATACAATTCTCAATCTTTCAAAATAAACATTCACCTACAATTTTGATACAATATACATGTATCTGACGTAACATGTGGGGTTCGGCGCGTTCGGCTAACACCCAAGAGGTCGCGGGTTCGAATCCTGCCCATGTCACCGATCTTGTGCCCTTGGGAAAAGAGTAGGGTATCTTCCCGGTGTGAATGGTTCAAACCTTACAGTCAGATCTTACGAAGCTTGTGCATGTGCGTACATGTGAAAAACTGGCGTGTTACGCCTAAAGGCGGTTTTCCGGTTATGCGAAACAAACAAACAAACAAACAAACAAACAAACAAACAAACATCTACCTGTGCCTAGAAGTGGTCACTTGGCTTTGAATAAGCAACACCGTTAAAAAACTCAGCCCAAGTTAGTCCTTGATATTGCTTTATTCAGAACGAATTATTCTTTCACAAGAAAACATGAAATTTACGTTTATGAAGTTAGGCATGCGGGAATGAATAATGATATTTTTTAAAATTTAAAATTAATCTGCATGTATGCCAGAGGACAATGAGTAGTATAGATTGGTTAGAAACTATATTTATGTCCGAAAGAAATCTTGTTTATCATTAAAATCATAACCACATCAAAAGAAATATACTAGTACATTGCAGTCCCATGGTCGATATGATTATCTGTAAGGCCATGTTGATTTGATTATATGGATGACATCCGCGCGCGCATGATTTTTCGGCCGTTTCCAAAAAAAAAAAAGTTTTCAACCATACTGTAAATGGTACAAAACAGTTGCAAAATGAGCAAAAATATACCATAAGTTACAAAAAAATAAGTAAAAACTATACCAATGTCGTAGAATGCCAAAATCAAACGAAAAAAAGACGAAATTGTAAGGAAATGAACTTGAAGATTAGATTATTCGCCAAACCATATTCTGTCCCATTTGTTCAACCCTCATGACCAAGTAGATTTCATAATGAAAAAACTTTTTTTTTTTGCAATATTTTTTTTTATTCGCACGCTCGCATCAGTTTTGGGGCTCCCGGAGGATGTCATCCATATAATCAAATCAACATGGCCTAACAACTAATACATGTCGAATAGATTCCGTACAATCAATAATATTTGTGTCGTATACGCGATGTAAACTTTATACCCATTCAATATGAATAATATGAAGAGAAAATAACATGCATATATGATGTAAGTTAACGCTTAAGGCTTTTATATTCATAATCACAATTGTCACTATCACTTTCGCTCTCTGACTGAATCTTAAGTGTTTCGATCTCGCCTTTGTTATCACTTCTGGGATCATAAACGAACGAAACCCCACCCAACCGTCTGTCTCTGACCTGATCCAGTGACTCCAGAAGATGCCGGTGTTGCGATTCGAACAAGTCACTGTCATTCGGCGTCTTGGTGATGCTCCTCCTCCTTACCGCCGGGATGGCTGTGAATTTGCTCTTGAGTCTGTCCGGTCGGTACAAGTTGTTGAAGTTGGACACTATGACTGTTACGGGGAGAGTTAGGAGTACAACCGAGCTGAGGCAACAGAAGGCCGTGACAACTTTCCCGAAGGTAGTCCGGGCGACCATGTCCCCGTACCCAAGCGTGGTCATGGTCACGATGATGTACCACGACGTCGCGGGAATGGATGTGAAGTGACTCGCCGGCGTTCCTTTTTCAGCGTAGAAGATAACCGTGGAGAACACTATTACCGTCATGAAGAGCGCGAAGAGCAGGAAACTCAAGTCTCGCACGCACGATCTCAGGGTGTACCCGAGGAGTTGCAAGTTGGTGGACGATCTCGTCAACTTGAAGACCCGAAACACGCGAAAGACTCGTAGCGTCACGAACACCCCGTTCATCTCGCTGTCCTTTGGCATACAGAGAGCAATATAGAAAGGCAGTATGGACAGGATATCTATGATACTCATGGGGCTTTTGACGAATATCCACCGCTCCGGAGTTGAGTAGAAGCGGATGATATACTCTAACGTGAACAGTATGGCACAAGCGGACTCTACTACATAAAAAGATCTCGGATACCTATCTCCGCAGTACATCCATTCTTCCCTACCTACGCCCCTGCAGTAGATCGTTTCTAATACGTTGGACGCTATAGATACCGTGATGAAAAACAGCATGACGTAAAAGAATGACGTTCCACACGCGTCCCTACCGGGGTTTTCAATGGACAGCCACAGGCGTTCTCGTAGCGTTCTGTCTTGATCCGAAATGTTTTCGTCCTCGTTCCGACTGTTTACTTTGATCAGCGTTTCTTTCTTGTCGAAGTAGACCTCACGGCAGCAGGGGCCAAGCATCTCCTCCAAATCGCTGCAGTCAAGGCCGAAGAAGGACAACTCCTCTTCGTACTTGACAAGTCCTTCGTTTTCCGGATAGTGGAGAGTCCCCGTCCGGTAGTAGTTTAGGATGTGCCGGAATATATCCGGATCGCGGTCGAAGACGTACTCCTTTCTAGCATCGTCGTAGAAGCATTCCTTCTCCCTACTTCCCAACAAAGTATCCGGATACATGTCGACAAGACTCTTCGACACCTCATAGTGCGTCCCGCCGACGTTTAGATTCAGCCGTTTGGACGGTTTTATCCGCGGTTGGGAGAAGGACCTCGGCCGGAGGTTTACCGTCGAGAGCGGCAACTCGCTCGGCCGCGGCATGGCGGTGGAGCCGTATGTGACGTTGTACATGTTTGGGCCGCTTTTTATACCACTCTTTCTCTCTCTCTACTTACTACTTCCCCCAGGACGTCGTTTTCGTTAGTTGGTGCATGTTATCGCCGCGGACGTCCCGCTGGTTTTAACAACCTCTGCAGCGTCGGTGGATGAAGTATGGAGGTGCATGTTTGACGATGATGACCCACCTCCGTCATTCCCCTAAGGCAAGATAGAATTTTTAAAACGTCGTCAGTCCAGCAGTAAATGCAAAATACGGGAATTGTATTTATCAGGTCGAGCCATGAGTTTTCAGTGCCTGTTTGACTAAAAATAACCATGAGAACATTTGTCTACCACATGGACAATATGGCGATACGTAATTGGCTATTCAGACTAGTCTGTTGCAATCAGAGTACTATTATATTGTAATTCAAATAGAATAGACGACGAATGCCTTTTTGTAATAGAATACAGTCTATATAGCCAAGAGAGGACTACACTACATCAACTGATACAATCCATATCTTGTGCAGTGTTACGATATGAAATTTTAAAATTATGATGTCACTTGTAAACAACGATAACACTTTCTAGGCGACCATCATCGACTGACTCAATATTCAACATTCAAAACCATATCAAAAGACGGAAAGCTATACGTCGATGAAGGTTAGACATCCAGGTAATAAGATACACAAAAAAGCAGTTACTCAAGCAACTGGATATAATTTTAGAAACGGTTAGACGTTTCAGCTAGTATCCACTAGCTTTTCACATCCGCAGTCACTGACGAAAGCTTGGATGCTAGCTGAAACGTCTGACCGTTTCCAAAATCATATCCAGTTGCTTGAGTAACTGCTTTTTGGCGTACAGAAAGCTATAATAGTAAAACAGGATTCAGATTCCCTTCTGCCTAGTAACCAGGCTATATATAGTCTACTCGTACGTATATCCGTGGCGTCTAGTGGTCAATTAGGCCGCTAAGGTCTGGAGAAGTCTCGAGGGGCGAGGGTATCATATTAGAGTGGCCCTTGTCTGTGTGCGTATAATTAACTACCGGTTCTACGTTATGCATGATGCTACGAGTATATCCTGTAAACTTCAACTACCAACGTTGTCTGGCAGATAACACTGAGATGGGACCTCAAGGATGCATTGGTTGTAATTTTAATTTTTTTTTATGAGAAGTGCAGTTGGTTTTGGTTTCTGAAGATTCCTGATGAAGTTTATATTCGTGGGGTCGTGTGGCGTAACATCAGAGTGCTCGACTGGGAACCAAGAGGTTCCGGGTTCGAGTCTTGACATGCCGACATGCCACCGATCTTGTGCTCTTAAGAAAGGCACTTAACACGACTTAACTCAAGTGAAAATGAGTATTGTCATCTGCGTTGGTGGCGGCATGAAATAAGTTGATATAACTTGAGTGTGTCGTCACCATGTCTGGTCATGAAATGTTGGCATATAAGAGATGAAGTTATTATTGGTATTACTAAGTTATTGTTCGATAATGAATCATAAATCAATAAAAATCAATTGACACATTTGATAGCTAAATTCACCAGATTAATGCTAGATTAATAGGTCACAGGTATCATACTATTATGCGGAATATGCTTCTGTATAGGATCTATCTGAATTTAAAACACAAGTTACCAACGTTCATATATATGAACGTGTGGCTGGTATTAAAGGGTCTTTGTGACCACAGTTCTTATACTTGTACCAGAGATGCATGATCTAGGCATATGTATGTAGGCAGTCAACGGTTCGAATTCGAAGGTAAGAAGAGATCTTGCAAAATTCAGGCATAACTTCTCACGACTTACCTTAAGATGTATCACATATCTAGCGTAGACAGTTCTGCATGAATGCATTTCCGGAATAGGAACCACAAAATGTAGAAGCCACACGCATATTTCCATGTATAGGTCATGCAGGTTGTCCGAAAATGGGCACAATTTCGAGCATGAAAAATACATGGAGATATGATACGTGACATTACGTGAGTTATTTTCTTGATAAAGAATAATCTGATATGAATGTGACATTGGGTTGTATTAACCCATGAGACATCTGGGATGTGGGTCGAGAAGCCATACTATGGTTGTGCACTGCGGAAATGTAGTCGATAATAAATAGGATAAAGCATACGAGATTTCAGACTTTAGGGAAGTATTTTGAGTCTTCGTGACCGTCAAGGCTAACCCTATTCAGACCGGGCTTTTTTGGCATGCTCAGACGGGGGGAGGGGGCTTTTGAGACCCGCCCTCTGTAACTGAACAACCATTTATCGCAGGGCCACCAGATTTTCAGAGAATGGTGTAGTAATAAAATTGATTAATAAACAACAATAAAAAACAACTTTTGTGTAATTATGACGTCATGTGACGTCATTCATGATTTTCCAAAAAACTGCCTGTCAGAAACCAGTTGCCATGGCAACACAAAAAGTCTTATCTAAGGAACTTACTTTTTAGTATCTAATTACCAAATTTGACGGTTCTAGCGCAAGCCGTTCAGGCGCTATCCGAGATGAAAGTGGGCTTGGGCCTCAAAGGCGGGGTTGTATGATGTAATTTAATCGGGCATTACACTACGCCCTGAAGGAGGTCATCTTCAAGTGACGGTCCTGTAAATCAACTGTTACAATCGCCTCCCACCCACCATGAAATGAACTCGGACAGACAGGCAAACTCACAAGACACAAGGCATCCACACAAGTTGAACAATTATGTACACGTATATAGGCAATGTATGCTTTACATGACAAAAAAGTAGGACCTATATAATATAAAAGAAAAGTTGCATGTGACTTGTACCTGATCTACAATTTCACGCTATTGAACATTACCATCTGTAGCTGACTGTTGTAAGACAGCCTTTACAAATGGACCAGTAATGCTAGCGCTGTCTGACCTGTGTTTAATGGAAGCCACAGATTGTGCCAAGTTCCCATTACAATACACTACCGGGACGTGATGACAATACTGGGGTTATTACCTCCATGAAAAATGGAGGTATTGTTTTCAATTGGCATTTTCGCAGCGGTTTGTTTATCGATTCTGTCTACTTTGTGTATTGCAGGGCACTTATCTTACAGGTTGATGTGTTTTTATGAGCTTTATTGAGACCACTAGCCACTATTATGGCGGCCAATATCTACACAAAGCTTACCTTTTAAAGGTATATCGGCGAGGGATATGCATTATGTATCAGGTGAAGGCATCAAGGGGATAGGCAAGGACAAGGTCCTCTGACTGCTTTGTCATGGTGAATTTATACATGGGACAATGACTGTCCAATATCTGAACACACACAGTGAAATGGTTTACGACGTACAGACGGGCTATTGTAGTACAACATGAAACAGACTAATATCATATTCGTGTGAATAGCAAAGTTCTTTGATCACAACCATTTTTTTACCAGTCGACGTTTCGATGACCGTCTGTCATCTTCATCAGGGCAATTCTGATTGGTTTACTGTGCAATGACGCTAGATGTTACTTGGTGCATAGTGCACTGAAGGTATTACGATGATGCACTTAATTAATTAATTAGATAAGCTAGTTTTTACTGTGAACCATGTAACACCTTTAGTGCACTATGCACCAAGTAACATCTAGTGTCAGTGCACCGCAAAAAAGTCAGAATTGCCCTGATGAAGATGACAGAAGGTCATCGAAACTTCGGCTCGTAAAAAAATTAAATGGTTGTGCTCAAAGAACTTTGCTATTCATTCATTTACCAACCTGATAAAGTTATTTACGGAGGTAATAGCATATTCGTCTGCACATGCTGGTCTTCACCAGACTAATAACGTGGGTTTAAAAATAGTACGATTTAGCCAAATAGGAAGAATAATTGGCCACCGTAGAGTTCATTTTCCAACCCAATGTTTCCCTAGGGCCCTCCATGTGGCTCAATGATTGACCCTAGTTTTGCCAGGTCGTTTTGCCGAATTCTGCTATCCATGATTAACCCCTTAGGGCACGGTCACATTTCCAATCCGGGCCCCGGCCGGGTTGTTTGCGTGAACGAAAAATAAACAATTTGCATTAGGAGAACAATGTGTACACAGATAGTGCTCATGGTTAATTTTCTAAAACTTTTTTTTTATTTTTCTGTCTTATATCATAAATTTCGTTCCATACGACTGCCCTGCCGGGCCCCGGGTTGGGAAATGTGACCGCGCCTTTAGAAAGGCCTGATGGAGGCCATGTTGAAACTTCAAAATTAGCTCACTGACGATGTTTATATGGATATGTTGAAAGTTCATTGACTTCAAAATTATCCTCCTAGGAAGGCCTTGTGGAGGCTATGTTGAAACTTCAAAATTAGCTCACTGATTCGGTTGATATGTTGAATTTCATTGACTAAAAAATTAGCCCCTTAGGCAGGCCTGGTGGAGGCTATGTTGAAAGTTCATTGACTTCAAAATTAGCCCCTTAGGAAGGCCTGGTGGAGGCTATGTTGAAAGTTCATTGATGTCAAAATTAGCTCACTGTAAATGAAATTGTACAGGTCTTTCCAATCACACGGCCTGTATCAATCATAATACCTAGTGTGGCTGTCACTAGTAGATGATTGTAGTGATAGATTTGCCAAAGGAGTACAATAAATCACCAGCCAAGAAAAGAACAAGAAACAGTCATGCCTTCAAATATCAGAGTTATCAACCAAGAATTGAGGTGTTCAAAAACTCGTATTTCCCAAGAACTATCGTAAACTGAAACTCGTTGCCGCCAAGCACAGTTGGGGCATCATCACTAGAAAGCTTTGAACAACTCATGCAACTAAATGTGAAATGATTGAATATAACAGGTCGTTCGGTGTGATATAGCTAGCTGCCGCCGCGCCGCGTGCCTGCGAAGCTGGTGTGTTATGCCGAGGGTGCCGAGGGACGGTTATACCTGCTATACTGATACAGATACAGAATCGTACAATGACCTACGACGAATGAGACATCCCCTGAAGGCAAATTATGGGACCAGACTCCGGACTAACGATTCATCCTTTTTTGACAAATGCCGTGGATTGGGCAGGATTTCCCCCCAGTCTCTGGTCATGCTGTGATTTACCGATAACCCACATACATGCCATGTCAGGCACATGACTACTTATCACGCTCCCCAGCAAGATTGGCGAGTCATCTGGAAAGATGAAGTGGACTGATGTCGATTGG